TCTTAGTCCCCTCTACCTTCCCATGACCGGACGTCAAAGTCTTGCGTATAACCCTTTAGCAGTATAAATAATATACAAGCTTCTAAATACGTACATGCTAGGTTGGATAATATAAATGTAATACTCAAGAATAAATAAATACTTGTTTATGAAAAAACTAAACATAATATTAATATAAAATAGTATTAAATAAATTTATTTTGTATTGTGAGGGTTTTGGTCCCTGCTGCTGTTGTCTTTGTTTAATGACGTCAGAAGCGAGAATGATACCTTGAGAATTCTTGCATTACATATTTACTGTTACCACAAAAATTGCTTATAAAACCGTTAAACACATTTTCCAGCGAAAATAGAATCGTCGTATAATATAATGCATAAGCATAAGCACTCCAAGTAATTAACATATAGAAAATACTCCAGCAATATCTTGGTTTGTGTAACAGATATTTAAAAATTCTGAGACCTAAAAAAGAAGTGACTAAGGAAACAGGACTTAACGCCTTTCCTATATTATCGATCATAATGGAGACTCGCAATTTTATGCGCTAAATGTAAAAATTCCAGGTAGTAACATTCATGTTGTGCAAACGTCATGTTGATTGCTACGATGAAATGGCTACATCTGATTATATCGCAAATGTAAATAAATTATGAAACTATTACACAGTTGAGATAATCGATCCGCATATGAAGTAGGTATACACTTTTATAAATTGTGTGTATAAAATGTGTTTTGCACCTTTTCTTTGTATATTTACTTATATTATATGAGACGCTAAAATAAACAAATTTAATTTAATTTTGATGCAATTTTGATTATGTTTTCTCTAATAAAGCTGGTCTATTCTTTTATAATTTTTTATATTAAAATAAATCATGTTAATTAACAATAATTATAATTATATAACGGTGTTATTAAATTTATTTTAAACATTGTAATTTAACCTATAATAATGTATTCTTTATTCATTTGAAGAAGAATAATTTTATTTATGTGAAATATGAATTGATTAGAGCTGCAAATTTGCAATTTACAATAAAACTTTTTAGATTAATAATCTGTGATGTGAAATATTTGCAATTTTCGCATTTTTTATTCTGCTGTTGTTAAGCACAATAAACAGAACATTATTAATTGGTAAAATCATTTCCAAAGTGTATCAATTATTACATTAGCTTAAGCGATATAGAATTACAAATAATTATTTTGACTTTTAGGATGCTATAAAGCTTAATACAAAATGCAGGATTGACTTCTTATTTGTAAGATAAATCTTCAAGTGTTTGACATTTGTACCATGATGATCACGTATGTTGTAATCGTTGTGCAGAACTAGAAAAAAAATATTAATTTTTAATTAATTAATATTATTTATAAAAGTTTTATTTAAATATGCTATATCGTATTTAAAGCTGAAACAATATTATTGTATAAAGGGAAAAGTAAGAACTTTAATAATAATGTTATTCATAACAATTTTAATCTTGTAGAAACAATTTTATGAATTTCTATAATGTTTGATATAAAATGTGAACATACAGTAATAGTAAAAATTGACTTAAAAATGCACCTTTATAAGGAATTTGTTACCAAACTCGAAGAAACCCATTCCAGTAAACTTTAACGGGTTATGCATTGTTTGCAAAGTAAACTGATGAATCTGTACATAAACAGTTATTTCACATAATTTACTATTTACTATTATTATTTACTATTATTTACTATTTACTACAAATATATATTTTACCTCTCTCAAACTGTCAGGATATTGAAGAGATAATTCATTAACTATTTTGTCAATTTTGTTAGCCTAAAAGTTAGAATTTACTTTTGTTGAATGTACAGGGTGAATTATTTTAATCGATGCACGCAAATATCTCTTCTGGGAAAGGGGCTAGCAAAACTTACCTGGGCAAAAGTTGTTGGGTTTCAAGGGGGACACAAGATGGTGTCATTAATTTGAACTTAAATAGTTGCTTGAAAGTAACGTAAAAGTCACCTTCAATTTTTTAATGGAACCCCTATTGTTTATTGTACTATCTTATTTTACTAATTAATATGAACAACTTTTGTCTGAAACACTTTTTGATTTGCCTAATACTTTTTGAGATATTCAAGAGAAAATTTATAACTTTTTCAATGTTTAGCTTATGATATCTCGATAACTGTTTGTCGAAGGGAAAAATAGTAAAGGATTTTTTTTACTTCATTTGGTCTCAAGAAGATGCTGTTACAATAGTGTTCCAATTATTGAAAATTTTTGTGTATTGTGGCATACACAAAATTTACAAAATTTAGGTCAGTTTTTGCTAGCCCCCTTCCCTGAAGAGATATTTGCGTATGTCGATTAAAAAGACTCACGCTGTACATTCTTATATCGAAAATGCATTGTACAATTGAAAGTGCATTATATAGTTTTGTACCTTAATACTGACATTTTCACAAATGTAATTAAAAATATACATTTTTCCAACAATTACAAACGTCCAGTTAATTAGTCGAAGCCAAAGGTGCGCTGACAGTCCCTTTCGATATTCGAGTGTATCCGATAGGAATTTGTATAAGTATAAGGATAATGCTGTTACGGATAATGGATAGGATGCTGCTTCAATAGTCATCTGTAATCCAAATATCAAATTCCATTCGCGTGCAATGTGACATAGTTCTAAATGAAGATGCCTGTAAATCAATTTCTCATTACTACATATAAAAAAAACAAAAATGAGGCAAAATTACAAGAAATAATTTGTTAAATTTATCGTTATTTATTTTTGTTAGACTATTGAAGTAACATTCTAAACAAATATGCATTAATTGATAAAACAAATATGCAATATTGATTTACATTGAGCTCCACAATACTCGCTTGTCATTATTAGTACCCAGGGTATATTGATGAGCAATAATTGTAGGTTTCTTCCGTGTATTCCAATGCTCTTTCTTTAACAATAGATTTTGCATATGCTTGTTTACTTCATCAAATCTTGTGCCGATGTACCTGTTTCAGAAATAATATTTTAAATTGTAGTATCTACAATATATCTACACATATTTAATTATCACTTTACGATACATTTACTTATGTTTACATAATTCTCTTTTTTTGAAATTATGATACATAGACAGGGTATCTAATTCCTTAGTGACCAACTAATTAGAATGAATTTTTTAATATTTTTATAATTTTTAACAAGGAATTAATTTTTTAAATACTTTTACAAATATGTAAAAAATTGTTTCTTGTAATGATTACATTTTATTAATTATTTTTGTGAAAAATGTATATTATCTTTAAAGATGGAAATGGTTTTTGAATATATTAGATGAATTAATTTAACAAACAAACAATGAGTACCAACCATAAGAAAATGATAAATACTGAATCTACAAATGTATTAACGTGAAGACAATAAGTGTATATATGAGCTACAAAAAATCTCCATATAGGTGCTTTTTCTATTAGCAATATCTGCCACGTTAAGGAGTCAATAAAATTTAGGGTAAAGCTGTACACAATCCATCCTGTTATCACTCCTTTTGACCATATGTGCATTTTTCGATATATATTTGAACTACCTAGCTCTTTCAAAGTATCATCCACTGCATTAAGTTTCTTTATACACATTTGAAGTCTCTAAAATAATAATGAAATATGATATAAATTATAATGCTATATACTTTTTTGTGATAAAATATGTTTTCATATATAATATATTATTTAAAAGATATTGCTTAATAAAATCATTTTCGTGTAAAATAAAAGCGTTATATTGACATTGATGTATCATGCATGCATAATTATTTTAACATTTTATAATATTATATAATCTAGTTAGTCTACATGTAAAGATAGAATTGGTAAAAAGATTCATTACATTATAAGTACCTTGTTATAATATATGCTAAAAATCGCACATGTGATTGTCGTAATAATGTTGATTTCTATAACAATTAATGAAATGGTGGTAGGAAATATTGTATCCAATGAAAAAATGCTCACAATGTAGTACCAAAGATAACCGTAAACGAGCCACACTGTTGCAGAATATAGAATGCTTAAATATATAACCCATTTTACCCGAGATTCTGAACTATTTAATGGGTAGACATATAAACCAATAATAAAGCACGTAATGAAAAGAGGTCGCAAGGCTTGTTGGATCGTGGTAGTCATAATCGTCACCACGCGAATCAGCACTGAATGTTACTCTCGTCGCTGCTAAATTTGCCATATCATTTTGAACAATTACGTTAATGCGTAATAATAGTATTTTTCCATTATCGCGATATATGCTTATTGGAGTACATACGCGAATATTAAAAAGTTAGATCCGGTTGATGAATGAGACAGATAACTCGTCAATAAATTATACAATGAAATTATTAATACCCACTGATTGTTTTGTGTTTCTCATGCCAAATTTATTTAATGTTGTTCTTACAGTATCTTTCATGTATTGTCTTTTAAATTATCATTTACTAAGCCATATTTATATATAATAATATAATGTAAAATAATATAATATAGGAAATTCACTGTCAGATAGTACAAATTTCACAATCAACTAATTAATATAATAAGACATAAATATTCAATGAGATATAAATCATAATATTGCTTTAAGATGCGCGCAGATGTGCGCGCGCGTAGAACATGAAGTTGACGTACGAAAATATAGATAACAATGTATAATAATTCAAACGGATAATATAATTTGAAAGAGAAATAAAAAGAAAGAGAAGAGATTTTAAAGAAAAGAGAAAAATTTGTAACATATAAAGATTGATATTAATATTCAATTGAATTATCTTCATTTTTAATATAAAACACAATAGTCGTTATTATAATATTTATTAATTATACAAAATTGAAAAGTATTATAAAGTTCTATAATAGTAGTTTATAGTTGCTTATAAATTGTTTAAAATATTCCAATTATGTTTAAAAATATTTTATATTTATTTTTGGCTAAGTATGCATTTGTGCGTACACTATTATTTCTAGTTTGTCTGAATATTTATTAGAAAGGTGTTGAAAAAAACTGAAACAGTAAAATTGACATTTAATTTATTATTACATATTATTACTACATTATTATACTACATTATTATACAGATGTACCGCGTGGGAGTTGCACGGTCGAATTTACATCTGTGTGTGTATGTGTGTGTGTGTGCGTGCGCGCGCGCGCGCGTGTGTGGTGTGTGTGTGTGTGTGTGAGCGCGCGCGCGCGCATACGCCTTTTTAAACCATATAACTTTAGTCTAAAACATTTTTCTCTAAAATGCTTTATTTTCGAGATATTTAGCCGTTGCCGGACGTTTTGGACACCTTGTATATTATTACTACCTTGTTATATGTGTGTGTAGAAATCTCACGCGTCTCAATCGTCGACGGGTTAGGTCGGATAATGATGTTTAAGAACGCGCGTTGCCTTTTTATTTTGCTGATTTGTTTATAATACCTGAGCACGCACTGCGTCTGCTCCGCGATCTACCGCACATTCGCGGCTGGTCATGTACAATAAATGTATAATGTCTTAACACTTTCGGCGACAATACTAATCTCGAATCTTCGTGATCCTTACATGCTTATATGTATATGACTCTCGAGGAATTCTCCCCGATCGTTCACTATCGTTTTCGGGTGCGCGCGCTGCTGCCACGCGAGTCGTGCGTGACTTCTCATAGCCGTTGTAATAATCCCAACAGATATTGAAATATTTTTATAATTACTAATATTATTTATAAGTTGACGTTGCAGTTTATTAACCGCCTTGCCAAAATAAATATTAACGGATCATTTTAAACATGGCGTATACATAATTTTCTTGTAAACATGAAATTAATTTGCTTGTGAATTTGCTTGTGAACAGGAAATAAGTCAAAAAATGATTATTGGTTAAATTTTATTGTATATATTGAAAACAATTGTAATGGAGCCATGAAATACAGTTCTCCACGTATTCTTTTTTCTCAGTTTGAAACAAATACAAATACATTATTCTTATCAGTATTGGTCTATGTAACTGTCCTCATGTGTCATATTTTACACAATAAGATTAACAAGTAAGTCAATTATAAGAATGAGTTTAATAATGAGTATAATAATGAGTAATAATAATTTAATGATATGAATAATAGTATTTTTTAATAACCAATTTGTCGTGACAATATAGCAAGAAAAAAAGAAATATAAAAGTAACATTTTTAGATTTTCCAGAAATGTAAAAATTCTATTAAATTTGCTTTTTACTTATTCTTTATTCATTTGAAGAAGAAGAATTTTATTTATGTGAAATATGAATTGCTTAGAAGCTGCAAATTTGCAATTTACAATAAAACTTTTTAGATTAATAATCTGTGATGTGAAATATATATTTGCAATTTTCGCATTTTTTATTCTGCTGTTGTTAAGCACAATAAAAAGAACATTATTAATTGGTAAAATCATTTCCAAAGTGTATCAATTATTACATTAGCTTAAGCGATATAAAATTACAAATAATTATTTTGATGCACTTTTAGGATGCCAAGCTTAATACAAAATGCAGGATTGACTTCTTTTTTTGTAAGATAAATCTTCAAGTGTTTGACATTTGTACCATGATGATCACGTATGTTGTAATCGTTGTGCAGAACTAGAAAAATATATTAATTTTTAATTAATCAACATTATTTATTAAAATTTTATTTAAATATGCTATATCGTATTTAAAGCTGAAACAATATTATTGTATAAAGGGAAAAGTAAGAACTTTAATAATAATGTTATTCATAACAATTTTAATCTTGTAGAAACAATTTTATGAATTTCTATAATGTTTGATATAAAATGTGAACATACAGTAATAGTAAAAATTGACTTAAAAATGCACCTTTATAAGGAATTTGTTACCAAAGTCGAAGAAACCCATTCCAGTAAACTTTAACGGCTTATGCATTGTTTGCAAAGTAAACTGATAAATCTGTACATAAACAGTTATTTCACATAATTTACTATTTACTATTATTATTTACAATTATTTACTATTTACTATAAATATATATTTTACCTCTCTCAAACTGTCAGGATATTGAAGAGATAATTCGTTAACTATTTTGTCAATTTTGTTAGCCTAAAAGTTAGAATTTACTTTTGTTGAATATACAGGATGAATCATTTTAATCGATGCACGCAAATATCTCTTCTGGGAAAGGGGCTAGCAAAACTTACCTGGGCAAAAGTTGTTGGGTTTCAAGGGGGACACAAGATGGTGTCATTAATTTGAACTTGAATAGTTGCTTGAAAGTTACGTAAAAGTCACCCTCAATTCTTTTAATGGAACCCCTATTGTTTATTGTACTATCTTATTTTACTAATTAATGAACAACTTTTGTCTGAAACATTTTTTGATTTGCCTAATATTTTTTGAGATATTCAAGAGAAAATTTATAACTTTTTCAATGTTTAGCTTATGATATCTCCATAACTGTTTGTCGGAGGGAAAAATAGTACAGGATTTTTTTTACTTGATTTGGTCTCAGGAAAATGCTGTTACAATAGTGTTCCAATTATTGAAAATTTTTGTGTATTGTAGCATACACAAAATTTACAAAATTTAGGTCAGTTTTTGCTAGCTCCTTCCCTGAAGAGATATTTGCGTATGTCGATTAAAAAGATTCACGCTGTATATTCTTATATCGAAAATGCATTGTATAATTGAAAGTGCATTATATAGTTTTGTACCTTAATACTGACATTTTCACAAATGTAATTAAAAATATACATTTTTCCGATAATTACAAACGTCCAGTTAATTACTCGAAGCCAAAGGTGCACTGACTGTCCCTCTTGATATGCGAGCGTATTCGATAGAAATTTGTATAAGTTTAAGGCTAATGCTGTTACAGATATTGGATAGGACGCTGCTTCAATAGTCATCTGTAATCCAAATATCAAATTCCATTCGCGTGCAATGTGACATAGTTCTAAATGAAGATGCCTGTAAACCAATTTCTCATTACTATATATAAAAAAAAACAAAAATGAGGAAAAATTACACGAAATAATTTGTTAAATTTATCGTTATTTATTTTTGTTAGACTATTGAAGTAATATTCTAAACAAATATGCATTAATTGATAAAACAAATATGCCATATTGATTTACATTGAGCTCCACAATACGCGCTTGTCATTATTAGTACCCAGGGTATATTGATGAGTAATAATTGTAGGTTTCTTCCATGTATTCCTTAGCCAATGCTCTTTCTTTAACAATAGATTTTGCATATGCTTGTTTACTTCATCAAATCTAGTGCCGATGTACCTGTTTCAGAAATAATATTTTAAATTGTAGTATCCACAATATATCTACACATATTTAATTATCACTTCACGATACATTTACTTATGTTTACATAATTCTCTTTTTTTGAAATTATGATACATAGACAGGGTGTCTAATTCCTTAGTGACCAACTAATTAGAATGAATTTTTTAATATTTTTATAATTTTTAACAAGGAATTAATTTTTTAAATACTTTTACAAATATGTAAAAAATTGTTATTCTTGTAATGATTACATTTTATTAATTATTTTTGTGAAAAATGTATATTATCTTCAAAGATGGAAATGGTTTTTGAATATATTAGATGAATTAATTTAACAAACAAACAATGAGTACCAACCATAAGAAAATGATAAATACTGAATCTACAAATGTATTAACGTGAAGACAATAAGTATATATATGAGCTACAAAAAATCTCCATAAAGTTGCTTTATCTATTAGCAATATCTGCCACGCTAAGGAGTCAATAAAATTTAGAGCAAAGCTGTACACAATCCATCCTGTTATCACTCCTTTTGACCATATGTGCATTTTTCGATATATATTTGAACTACCTAGCTCTTTCAAAGTATCATCCACTGCATTAAGTTTCTTTATACACATTTGAAGTTTCTAAAATAATAATGAAATATGATATAAATTATAATGCTATATACTTTTTGTGATAAAATAAGTTTACATATATATTATTTAAAAGATATTGCTTAATAAAATCATTTTCGTGCAAAATAAAAGCGTTATATTGACATTGATGTATCATGCATGCATAATTATTTTAACATTTTATAATATTATATAATCTAGTTAGTCTACATGTAAAGATAGAATTGGTAAAAAGATTCATTACATTATAAGTACCTTGTTATAATATATGCTAAAAATCGCACATGTGATTGTCGCAATAATGTTGATTTCTATAACAATTAATAAAATGGTGACAGGAAATAATGTATCCAATGAAAAAATGCTCACAATGTAGTACCAAAGATAGCCGTAAACGAGCCACACTGTTGCAGAATATAGAATGCTTAAATATATAACCCATTTTACCCGAGATTCTGAACTATTTAATGGGTAGACATATAAACCAATAATAAAGCACGTAATGAAAAGAGGTCGCAAGACTTGTTGGATCGTGGTAGTCATAATCGTCACCACGCGAATCAGCACTGAATGTTACTCTCGTCGCTGCTAAATTTGCCATATCATTTTGAACAATTACGTTAATGCGTAATAATAGTATTTTTCCATTATCGCGATATATGCTTATTGGAGTACATACGCGAATATTAAAAAGGTAGATTCGGTTGATGAATGAGACAGATAACTCGTCACTAAATTATACAATGAAATTATTAATACCCACTGATTGTTTTGTGTTTCTCACGCGAAATATATTTAATGTTGTTCTTACAGAATCTTTCATGTATTGTCTTTTAAATTATCATTTATTAAGCCATATATTTATATATAAAATATAATGTAAAATAATATAATGTAGGAAATTCACTGTCACATAGTACAAATTTCACAATCAGCTAATTAATGACATAAATATTCAATGATATATAAATCATAATATTGCTTTGATGCGCGCAGATGTGCGCGCGCGTAGAACATGAAGGTGACATACGAAAACATAGGTAACAATGTATAATAATTCAAACGGATAATATAATTTGAAAGAGAAATAAAAAGAAAGAGAAGATTTTAAAGAAAAGAGAAAAATTTGTAACACATAAAGATTGATATTAATATTCAAGTGAATTATCTTCATTTTTTATATAAAACACAATAGTCGTTATATAATATTTATTAATTATACAAAATTGAAAAGTATTATAAAGTTCTATAATAGTAGTTTATAGTTGCTTATAAATTGTTTAAAATATTCCAATTATGTTTAAAAATATTTTATATTTATTTTTGGCTAATTGTAAGTATGCATTTGTGCGTACACTATTATTTCTAGTTTGTCTGAATATTTGTTAGAAAGGTGTTGAAAAAAACTGAAACAGTAAAATTGACATTTAATTTATTCTTACATATTATTACTACATTATTATACTACATTATTATACAGGTGTACCGCGTGGGAGTTGCACGGTTCAATTTACATCTGTGTGTGTGTGTGTGTGTGTGCGCGCATACGCCTTTTAAACCATATAACTTTAGTCTAAAACATTTTTCTCTAAAATGCTTTATTTTCGAGATATTTAGTCGTTGCCGGACGTTTTGGACACCTTGTATATTATTACTACCTTGTTATACAATTATTACTTCATAGTAATAATGTAGACATACAATATTTATTAATAGAAAAGAAATAAATTTTATGAACAATTCATGTGTCTTTTATGTTTCTGTGTTAGTTAACGAAAGTTGATTGAGTTTTTTAAAAGTAATTGTATTCTTTATTCAGCGGTACAGAAGACATTTGCATTATAATGATAATAAATGTTGTAACTGTCATGACAAGCTGAAAAAAATATAAACATTAAATTTTTATATGGACTAAAGTTTTTAATAAAATACATTTTTGATTAGTATTTTTGTATACTAATTTATATTTTTGTCATATAATTTTATATGAAATCATATAATAATTTGATACAATTTTTCATTTAAAAGCGATAGCTTATATTTTACAATTAGCAGGATTATATAAAAATTTTAAATTATATAGAAAAGTAAATAGAAACTCACATTTCGTAGAAAGCTATCGCCAAAACAGAAAAGGCCCAGTCCTGTTAATTTCAACGGATGTTGCATTATTTGTAACATAAATTGATGAATCTGCATATATGTATACAAAATTATTATGAAAATTTAAACGAATCCTATTATTTCATTTTATCTCTAATTACTTCTTTTTTTGAAATTTGTTTTACCTCATTGTGAACGTCAGCATATTGACAGAGCTCTGTCAATCGATGAATTACTGTTATTTTGCTAGACTAAAAATTATTATTATTATTATTATTCATTTCACTGTGTGTGTGTATTTTTACACATTATTAATTACATACTATTAATAGTAAATAATTAATGTCAATATGTATATGTATTGTATGTATACATACAAATATGTATACATATATATTACATAAAATAGAAAATGTACCTTATCACTAACAGTTTCGCAGATATAATTAAAGAAAATTATCTTAGCTGCATGTACAGATATCCAGTACCAAAGGCAAATCCAATTAAATGTTGAAGTTATGGAACGACCTCCCGTATGTATATGTATATAAATGTAATTACATAATCTTAACATTACTATTAGATAGGCTACTAGTTCCATGGTTATTTGTATACCAAACATTATATTTAATTGGCGAGCAATTTGATACAATTCTAAATGGAGATGCCTATGAAAAAATAATGTTTATTAATGAGGACAGTAAAAAATATGTAACTAGAAAAAGGAATCTCATGTTTGTATTACTTAAATAAATTAAATTTCTATTGAATCCTGAATGTACCCCTTACAGAAATGTAATACTGAGGACCAAAAAGGAATTGATATAATTATTAGAAAATGACTGTACATCAGTAATTTCTAATGATTTAATTATTAAGCTTCTAGTAGTTATTTCAGTGCTTTTTTGATTCTCAATATTACATTTCTGTAAGGGACTACTTTGAATGGTAGATCAGACTCAAATCAATGATCTAATCAAGAATTGTGTTCTGATTTACATTGAAGTCCATAATACGCGCTTGTAATTGTCAGTACAGATTGGTATGGTTTTTCTCCGTGAACATATCAAATTATATTCCTCTTTTACTAACTGATATTCCAAGTGTTCGTTCACCTTGTCAAACCTGGTACCGATATACCTATATCGAAACATAATTTCAATTTCAAAACTTATGAGAAGCATAAGATAAGATAATAAAACGTGTGTGTGTGTGTGTGTGTGTGTGTGTGTGTGTGTGTGTGTAATAAATGTATATAGGACTTAGCAATATATAATATATTGTTGCGGTTGCTAAAAATAAAAAGATTGCTCTTCTATAAAAAGATTGTGTGAAAAAATAAATAAAAAGTATATTAAGTTGTTAAGTATATTAACTATTTTGATAAATACAAAAATTGTGGAATATAAATTATATATTCCATATTTAATTTATATATTTAACTATCTTGTGCAATATACAAACCATAGAATAATTAGAAATAGTATATCCACAAACAAGTTGACATGGTAATAATAATTTATGATGTAGGGTATAAGCAAATACCGATGATCTTTCGAATAGAACCACCACATCATGTCACATATATTTCCCACGTGACAACATATTAACCATGCAATTAACGACCCTTTTGCACACATGTACAACTTGTGATACTGCTTTGGCGTACCCAATTCTTCCAATGTATTATCCACAGCGGTAAGTCTTTCTATAAAAATCTGAAATTTCTGAACACAACATTAGATAATAATTCAATATTATTTTAATAAATTAATTGCACATTTTTTGTAACATAACTGCGTAGAAATTACTTAAAATATAATATTTTTGTTTTAATATATTTTGGCCATTTATGGTATTAAGTTAATTCATCTTATATGATAAATTTATACAGGGTGTCCAGAAATTCGCGAATCAAAATACCATAGCAAGAATGTCGCCGAAAAAATCAATTAAAAAGTTATTTGCCATTTTTCGTTCCGAGCAGTAGTTTTTTTTAGATAAAAAGGTTCAAAACAGGCCAATCATACATTACGGTTGAACGGAAACCTGTCCGTGAGTCGCGCAACGATAGTTTAGTGCACTAACACTATCGACGCGCGACTCACGGACAGGTTTCCGTTCAACCGTAATGTACGATTGGCCTGTTTTCAACCTTTTTATCTAAAAAAACTACTGCTCGGAACGAAAAATGGCAAATAACT